ATAAAGATCAATTTAACAAGATAAGTTTTGTGATCACAGATTTCATGTATTTATAACGGTACTTCATTAAATTTACTTTCTTGTGTATGTCATTTATTTATTATAATTATAATTAAAATTATTTTTATATTTATAATCAGATACCTTTAATGTGACGATTTTTGTAATATATACATTTTTGAATTCGCTATTTATTTTTTAGATAAAGGATATCTTAATTGTACGAGAAAAACAAAATCTATACAATCATACAGTATGTTCATTATTAAACGAATTGTTTTAATGTTTTGAATCGATTATTCCAATATAAAAAATATCGTGAAAAACACGCATTTATGTTAAGACATTTATCACAAACTTTTACAAGTTATTACTTTTTATAATATATAAATGTACTATGTATTATATAATATTACGCACATTTTATGTTAAAATAATATCTACTTAAAACAAACTGTAGAATATAATCTAATATCATATTGTCTTCAATGTTTAATAAATATTTATTAATATTATTTAGTTTCTTCACGAAAACATTCTTATTTTCAATTGTTTATAACTCAAGGATTTTATAAGTATAGAACAGAATGTTTAAGTAACATATAACACATCATAACATCACAGATATTGATATCGTAATCAGTATTCGAGAAACTTTCAAGACGGCAAGATGATAACGCAATTATGTTGATATAACTTTGATATTAAAGGCTTGTAGTTATAAATTAATTAACTGTAATTAACTGTAATCAATTACGAATCTCGCTCAAAACCTTACCTATTTTAATCTACAAACAGGTAATTTACAAAGTAAGTCGTTAAAAGTGATAGTAATTCAAAAGATTTATTCTCTTTATTACATAAAAAAATATATGTAACGTAAATATTTTAAAAGATAACACATGAGTAAAAGCCGGTTTAAAAATTATTTTCGCGATCGTTCGAGGATTATCTCTTATTTCTATAATTTCTTATGTATCTTTTTCACGCGTTAAAAAAAAATTATCATAATAATGATGCAATACATTCAAGGAAAAATTGGTAGATTAAAATAAAATTCTCATTTACATTGTTATGAAATCGCAGTCAGTTATGCTTCAATTATTTAAAAACAAATTCAGAGTTGTTGGTTCATTTCTGAATTACTTTTTGAAGCATAACTGGCAGTGATTTCGTAACAATTTAAATAAAGATTTGTTATTTTAATGTTTATTTTTTTCTGAATGTAACATTATAATAATTTTCGGTTACCATGAAACAATAAAATACATGAGAAAATAAAGCATCCCTGAATGGTTGTGGAAAACAACGTATTCTTTTTTCCTATATTAACATTATATGTTTATTTATATTTTTTATTTGTTACGGTAAATATATTGTATATTATATATTAAATATTATGCAGCAAATGTAAATGTGCTCTTTTGGTGTCTAAAATTATTTTTCAAATTGAATAAATTAATTCTTTATTATTCTTTCAAGGAAGAAATCCCATGGAAATAAGAATAACAAAATAAATTATAATTATGAGTACATTAAAATATACTCAATACAAAATATAAAATGATATTCATAATTTTTTCAAAGTAAACCTTATATATAATTCTTTTAATAAAAACCGAAAATTATTTTTTCCCATTCATTCTCTTTTTATATCAAAATTAATATTAAATTATTTTAGACTTTATAAATTTTGATTTTAAATGTAACTTCAGACATCATTGTAAAATGTAATATTTCTTCTTTTTTTAACAAAAGATCGCAGATAAGACAGGAATTAGGTATAATGATATTCCTAAAATTGTTATTAAAAAACATTGGCCTAATACTGACTATAAAAACGGTTTTTTGCGTCGGTAATAGTTTAGAAAATATTGGTCGTTTACCGAATAACACGATGCCAGTTCACTATGACATCAGTCTGACATCATATCTCGAAGAAGGCAACTTTACTTTTTACGGTAAATCGAATGTCAAATTCAAGATTTGTTATGCATCGTCAAAAATAAGCTTACACTCGAAAGAATTAGAAATAAATGAAACGGCGACAATGTTGATTAATGATAAAGATACGATTTATAAACCAATGGAACACATTTATAACAATGTAACAGACATTTTGACACTGAATTTCAAAAATGTATTATCACCTGGTCTTTACATCTTGAACATGAAATTTTCTGGTAATCTATTACCTGAATCTATGCGAAGAGGTTTTATGAAATTTCCGTACACAATTGATAAAGGAAATGATACGTAAGTAAATATTAAAATATAAAAAATACATTTGTGATGTAAATGTTTTTTACTACTATCTTCTTTTGTTTTTATCTTATCACCATACATAAAACGTTTTTCAGTAAATATAACATACATATAAAATACGTACATAATGCATAATATAATACTTGAAAGAGTACAGTTTCAATTTTAAATAAAATGGCATAGCTATAGCATTTCGACTTTTATCTTTAACAAAATTTTTACTAAATATAGTAAATATGATAATGAACAATAATTAACAATAAGTCTTTTAAATTTTTATATTACTTGATATAAGTAGTAAATTCATCATTTAAGACGTTTTATTAAATAGTAAGTGGTTGGCTGTAACGCATTTCGAGCCGGATGGCGCCAGACGAATGTTTCCATGTTGGGACGAGCCAGCATTAAAAGCCA